TGTGTATAATCTTCCCATTATAAGTGAATTTCACTATTGACACAAGTTAAAAGGTATTTGCTGTCATATTAAAAAAATCACTGATTTACTCTGAGTAAAATTACTATTTTTCCTTTCATGTGACTTCTAAACACCATTTTCTGTTTTGCAGGATAGTGGGAGAAGGGGAGAGGAGCGAGAAGCATTTATGAGGCCACATTAACCTTTTTCTTCTCCTAGTTCCCATAATGAAATTCATGTGTAGCTTGATACGTAAAAGCTGTCATCCCAAAATGTTCGCGCAGTTGGCAAGTTATGACTACAGCTAGTAGTTTGAGTATGATTTGTATACACAGCTAGTGTAGCTACAACAACTTATGATTACTTTATTTCTCCTCAGTCATAGTGTTACTGTACTTCCTCTATCTTCATTTGTTCCATTTATTTGCTAAATTTTATCTTTAGGCCACAGGCCTGCACAAATGGTATATGCCTGGGCTTCATGTTTTCAGTGTGCTTGGCTTGTATATTTCTGCAGATCTTGCACACGTAAAGTCTTTGTACTCCGCCTCTAGGAATGAATTGAACCCGTCCGTCTCCAATTACAGGTACATACTTGGACGAATTTACAACACTCCTTTGGTATATCTTCTTCTTAATTGTAAGTAACAACATGCAAATACAGACAGTCTTCCACTAGCATCTCCATGACAATCAGAGGTATTATTTACGTTTGTGTGTGAATACGTGAAAGGAAATGCATGTACATCTAGTCACAGGTCTTTGTTTCTTAACTAGAAGTTCACTGGCATTAGTTTCTAGAAGTTAAGTTTCCAGAAAATCACATGATTTTTCACAGAAAAATTTTCTCTTTACTTAAGTCTAATTGTAAGCCTGAAGTCTTAATTTTCTTGTGGTGGAGCCTTTATTTACAGAAAAGAAGATGCATTTTTGCAGGGAAAATGTACATAAAAGCACAATAATCTTTCCATAGTAAACAATCCTGGGCCTGCTGCTCTGGCACCAATCCATCCCTTTCGGCTAGAGGAAGGCATGATGGAAGGAAAGCCTCTGGGCCTGTTTCTGTTTTTTCTGTCAAATGTGGACATAAGACCTTAGAAAAATAAGCTGAATTGCACAAATGCATGGTACAAAATGTACCTGAAATAGTCTTATGGCTTTCATAAATCATTTTATTCTAGTGTGAGGAAAGAGT